AAAAAATAGAGCAAACAACAGAAGAAAAATCAGTAAAGATTCTAATCATACTAGACCACCAAATCTGGAGAACAACACAGCAGCCAACAGATTGGAAGAGGTCAATCTACATTCCAATACCAAAAAAAGGAGACTTAGCAGAATGTATTACTATTTTACAATATCTTTAATTTCACATGCTAGCAGAATAATATTTAGGATCATCCAACATACAGTAGATTAGAACCTTACATGAAAAGGGAGATACCAGATGTTCAAGCTGGCTTTAGAAATGAATGAGGGGCATGAAACATTATTAATGATGCATGCTGGATAGAAAAAAGAAGAAAAAATGTCAATTATTTCCATTGGTTATAGAAAGGCCTTCAGTTGTGTTGATCATGTTAAACTGTAGAATATACTGAGAAAAATGGAAATCCCAGAATATCTCATTATACTCATACAACACACACACACACACACACACACACATGTCAGGAAGCCACAATATGGACAGGACATAGTGAAACAGACCAGATCTAGATTGGAAAAAGTGAAAGACAAGCCTCTATACTCTCCCTCTATTTATTTAATCTATATGCTTATGCTGAATATATATTAAAGGAAGCTGGATTAGAAGAAAATGAGTGTGGTTTTAAACTGGAGGAAAATTCCATTATGGCACATAGTAGCACTTGGCAGAGTATCCATGAAGGTCTTGGACAAGATATTCAGATGGTATTATGTGTCTACACCAACCAAGATCAGAATAACGCAAGCAGTGCATTCCCTGTGACACCACCTGTTAGCAAAAGTTGGACTTTGAAGTAGCAGGATAGGAAGAATATTGACACTTTGAAGTTTGGTGTTGAAGCAAACCCCTGAGAATACTATGGACAGCCAAGAAAACAAACCAAAGGTTCATTGAACAAATCAACCCAGAGTTCTCACTCAAGTCCCAAATGACCAGGCTCAAATTATCCTACTTTATAACACATTATGCAAAGGCCTAGCTCTTTAGAGAAGGCTTTAATGCTGGGAAAGGTGGAAGGAAAGAGAAGAAGAGGATGCCCAGCAGCAAAGTGGATGGACTGCTACAGTGGCAGTGGGTGCACTATTGGAAGACCTGAGGATCAATTGGGGACAAATAGTCATGGAGAAAATCGATCTATGTCATCAGTTAATACCAAATTCATGGCACAAAAATCCCCATCCTCCACAGGGAGGAGCCATCCTTATTTTACCTCTAGACAGCAGGAATATCAAATCAATGTCTGAGGAAATGTACATTTAAGAGACTTTTTTTCCTCCAGTGATTGAGCTATCTATTCTTTCTGCCTCTTAATAAAACAAGCATGCTGGGAGGATA